TTTAGAGATTACATTGTTAGAACCATTTTTGAGACGAGCTTCATCGAGCTCGAAAGGCGTGGGTCAAGCACAAGAAGTTGCCCGAGTTCATGCATAAGGATACCTTTAAAATTTTGTTGGCAAAATGGAGGGGTTCAAAATATATTGCATTCCAAGAAAGAGGTCGGCAAAACCAAGCAAAGGGTGACCGTGTGACCCACACAATTGGATGCCTTTTTATTGGGAACCACGAGGATCAACTAGTTAGTAGGATATACTTATATATATACATATATAAATTATTTTTGTTTACCATAAAAATGGAAATGTTATTGATTTTATTGATGTTTTAATAGGCAGCTAGACCTGGCAAAAATCCACCCGACCCTTAAAAAACGAGTTAGGGTCTACATATCTCAACCCGCAAACCCGTAAATAACCCATATTATCGATTCGTACGGGTCACGAGTCGAGTTAGGATCAACCCGCGAGTTGACGGGTTGACCCGTTTGTTTTATTTTTTATTATTATTTTTAAATATTATACTTATCATCCTTAATTAATTTTCCTATTGATAACTCCTTCCATTAATTCATACTCCGTAATTTCTAGAGAAAGAAGAAGAAGAAATTATGATAAGTTTGATCTAATTACCCAAGTATTATTATTATTTTATTATTTTTTGGTATTAACAATTAGCCAAGTGTCATGAATGAAATGATAATGCAAGTAAAAATATTAAAAGATGTGATGTTAGGACATAAACATAATAACTTAGTGAAAGATGTTCTTGGAAGAGTAATTTCATCATTAAAAAAAATGGATTAAGCTACTTAATAATGTTTCAAGATGATTATAAAATTAAAACTTTATTTTCCAAGAAATTTAAATATTTTACGTTTAATATTTTTATTATTAATCAATTTATTATTATTTATAACTTTTTTATTTTTTTCTTAATTTAAATGTTTGTAATTGAAATTATAAAGTATTTAGTGTTAATGAATCATAATATTTTAATTAGATTTAGATATATATAATTTTATTTGTGTATAATAAAATTAACGAAAAATAATTATAAAGAATGAAAATAAGGTTAACCCGCGGGTTAACCCGTAACCCGTTAGGGTCGAGTTAGGGTTGGATGTTTCCAACCTGCAATCCGTTTATAACCCAACCCGACCCAAACTCGACCCAACCCGCCCGTTTGCCAGGTCTATAGGCAGCTAAAAAAGGAGGAGTTAGGCTGACACCTTTAGAGTCGTACTTGTTGACTCACATGACTCGCCGACCTGATGCTCCAAAAGATGCCCCACCCACTTGGATATGTCCACAAGCTGAGCAGACATATGTAAGAATCTGATTCTTTTATGATATTACTTTTATTTATTTTTAATGCCATATTGCTCTAGAAGAAGAAAAGTGATACAATTTTTTATCCATTGTACTTAGGAAATGATTATTTTTCATTTGATTTCCCATTATCATTTGAAATTGCTAACTAATGAAAAATTTACTTTTGAAACAAAAAGATGCTCACCAAAAATATGTGGAGAAGCATGTGCCAAACAAGGATTCATGACCAGATTGGGATCCACTTATCTGGAAGGAGGTGGTTGGACCTTCTAAAAAGAGTCAGATGAGAGGGATGTCTACATTAGAGGATCCAACATAGCATGGCATCCCTTAGCAACGGTATGACATGAGTGAGGCCTCCTCTTCTACCACTAGGATTCTTACAACATGGGTCCAACAGTTGCAGCCTGATCTTACTCAAGTTCGGGAAGAAATGGCTGAGCGAGTTCAGACAAAGGTGGTCGCACGTATTCATATAGAGGTATCACAAAGAGTATTAGAGATGGAGGCTAGCCTTGAGAAGAGATTCTAAGAGCACATGCGTTGACTTAGCTAGCAATATTCTATGAATGCTACACAACCCCAGACTGGTTATCCTTCTTCTGCACCACCCCAGACTACTGATCCTTCTTTTGGAGGATTTAGACCTAATCACTTACCACCTCCTACTTAGAGACATTGATATTTAAAACTTATATTATTTATGTTTATATATATGTACTGCATATGTATATATATGGTGTGTAGGATGAGAAGTTAGTATATATTTATTAACTTAAACTAGTTTTTAATTATGTAGTATTTGAGTTTAAATAAGTAAAATATATAATATTAATAAAATTTAACAATCCTATAGTAAAAAGAAAAAAATTACAATATAATATTTCGCAAAGAAATAGCATATATATATCTTTATCTAAACTAGAATTTTTATAATTAATTATTAGCTCAAAAAAAATTGATTCGTATTACTTTTAAAACCAAAAATTTTACAAGAGAATTAATAAAAAAAAACTCAAAAGAAAAACCAAAAAATAATTCAATAAAAAAGAAATAATTAGATAAATCAAATTGTCAATTAGTTTAAAGAGATAGTATATTTGTTTAAATATAAATATTAAAAAATATAAAAGTAAATTAAAAAAGAAAAACTATGAATTGACCAGTCAATGGCTATCGAATATGATGCTGCCCCCTGCCTTTCCAGCAAAAAAAAAAAAAAATTGAATTTCCTAGCAAAAAAAATTTGAATTTCCTGGCCAAAAAAAAAAAAATTAAAAAAGAAAAAAAAAACTGTGACTATATTCGACAACCATATTGGCTGTCGAATATAACGCCACCCCATGCCTTCACAGCAAAAAAAATTGGATTTCCCGACTACTTAAATTTCAAACATATTCAACAGAATTTCTATCAAATATGTTTTAAATATAAAAACCACTCCCACATCATAACATCTCATTGTCTTCTAATTTTCATTTTCTTGCCTCTTCCCTTCTTCTTCTCCTTCTCCTTCTCGTTCTTTTCGCAGATAACATCTCTCTTTGAGCTTCTACTCCTTTTATTTTCATTTTTCTTTCTTCTTTTACATTCTCCTCTTTATATTTTCGTAAATTACCTTTAATTTTGACAATCCATCATCTTCTTTCTTTTCATTCTTCTCTCTTTTTTGTTGAATTCTTATTATTTAATATGCTAATAGTTCCTTTTTTTTTTTTTTTAGATTTTTATACATTGATTATGAAGTAATGTGAGGTAAATTTTGTGATTTATACTTTGTATCTTCTTTTCTTTTTGAAATTCTTATTACTTGATATACATTTTTTTCTATTATTTTTCGCAGGAACAAGAACTTATTTCAAAATAATTAAGGTTAATGCTCATTTTAATTTTATTTATGATTATCTATTACTTTTTATATTATTTTAAAATTGTTTCATAAATATATTGTTGGGGAACTTGATAATTGTGTTTGTTTTACTGATTGTTTATATAAAATTAACAAAAAATAATATAAGATTAATTTTGAATTTTGTTGATTTTTTAATTTTTTTTATTTTTCTGCCAAGTATATTTGACAGCATGTTGCTATCGAATATAGTATCGCAAAAAAAAAAAAGAAAAAAAAAAGAAAAGACATATTCCATAGAAATAGGTCGTCGAATATAATTTTCAAAACAAAAAAAACATATTTGACAGCTATTAGCTATCAATTATATAGCTTTAATCGACAGCTAATGGCTGTCGATTATAATCTTCAAAAATTAAAAAATATTTATCGTCAGCAAAGTTCTGCCGATTATGTTTATCTTCGACAGCCAATATTTGTCGATTAAATTAGTATATTCGACAAAAATGTTGACTATCGAATATACTCATTATCAAATGCATTTTATATGACATACTTGGCTGTCGATTATGTCTGTCGATTAAAACATAATCGACAAAAATACCTTTATATTCAATAGACTTTTCTGTTGAATATACCCTGTTTTCTAGTAGTCATTGGCCAATAACTTTTTCATATCTATATGGTTAAATTAGGAGATAAAGTTTTAGTTTTCCTTTTTAAGTTATGAAACCTATAATATAAGGAAAACACTATAACCTATTCAATTCCCATGATGAATCGTCCTACTCATCTATTCTTTCTTTTCATGTGTTCTTCCCTTATTTCATTCTTCTAATTTGTTCTTGTTTTGTTCTTTTATCACTTTTCTTGTTCATTTCTTTTCTTTCCTTTATCTCTCATTTCAGATTCATTGGAGTTAGATTGCTATAAGATAACTTAAATTTAGTTCATTTAGTTCAACAATGGATTGAAAAAGAAAAGTTGATTGAGGGAAAAAGGCAAAAGGTGTAAGCACTATTACGGAGAAAAGCCTATTTCTACAATGTGCAAACACATGCGTTGAGTGTCATTACACGAGAGAGTGGAGAGAAACATGAAAGGGCATGTTGTGAGGTCTTTTTATTATCTTTTTTAATGTTCTTTTTAGGTTTCAATCATGTTGACCTATGTGGGATACAATATATTTCACACAAGACACCACATCAAAGATAAAATATGTAATATGATTATTGATGGTGGTACTTATACCAACATAGCTAGCATTGTTTTCTTGGAAAAGCTTAGTGAGTGTTTGGCAAAAGAAATTTTTTTTTTTGTTTTTCTTTTTCTTTTTCTAGAAATAAGTTTTCTTTTCGTTTTCATTTGAGCATGGAAAATTTTGAAAATATTATTGGTAAATGAAAATGTGAGGGAGTAGAGAAGAAAAGAGAGGTGTTAGGATTTGTTGGGTTAGAAATCACTGGTGAAATGAGTCATTAGAGGTTTGTACACTACTTAAAATCTAAAATTATTACTTTTAACCCATATAGTTTTATTTTTTCTCTATAGGTCCCCCTGTATCCAACATTTTTTTTGCCTTTTCATTTAAGGACCTCAATGCTTTTGAAGGAAAACATCGAAAAGTTGTTTTACATTTTCCAATAATTTTGATTTCTTTTTCCTAGAAAACAATTTCCATTCCTACTTGCCAAACAAGTGCTCCATTTATTTTCCGTTTCTAATGGAAATGAGAGAGGAAAGCAAAGTTGTTTTCTATTGCCAAATACAACTTTAATTTACCTACGATGAGTCATTTAAGGTTATATATAACTTACAATAGTTGAACAATTGTGGAGAAATTAAAATAAATAAGTAAGTGCTAGTTTTATTTTTTATTGGATGACACAAAGATGAAACACTTTGTGACATGATTTTTATGCATGCTAGACACTTATTTTTTAAGGAGACCATGGCAATATAATAAAAGGGTGACCCGTGATAGCTTCAAAAATCATTATTTGTTTACTGTAGATAGGACATCGATTGCTCTTACTCCACTAACTCCAAGATAGGATTATGAGGATCAATTGAAAGTAATAAAAGAGAGTGAGCTTTTTAACTCGTGTGTTAAAGATATTGATTAAGAGTGTAATAAATATATTTTTTTGTTATAAATTTATATTGAAAAAATAAAAATTAATTTTTAATTTATTAATTATTTAATTAAATTCAACTATTTGACAATAATATTAAAATTAATGACAATTTTTTATATTTTTCTTTTTACATTTATAACAACAACAGAAAAAAAAATTGTGTGGTGAAAAAAACCGCATTAAATTTAAATCTAAAAATATTCCAATGGGTAGTTCTCCGGTTTTCCATATTTTTCTTTGGTTTAATACCCAATTTGGTCCCTAAACTTTCATTTCAAAACTTCGTCTGTCCTTTAACTTCAAAAAGCACTCAAATCGTCCTTTAACTTTATTTTTCTGTAACCCAAATTGTCCTTCTGTTGACAAACTGCATACCTGGCACGTTAAGTGTCCAACAATTACCACTTTTAATTGTTATAAGCTTACGTGGAAAAAACAACACAGCCAATTGATGACACGAGAACAAATTCATTCAACCTCATGTTTCCGTCTCTCCCACCTTCTAAATAAACCAGTGGGGAACTGCAGACATTGAAAAAAGAAGGGGAAACTTCTCAAACTTTGCAGGAACAACACTGCAATTTTCAGTTGTATTTATCAACTTTTTACAGATGGTATACATGGAGTCGTCCTCCAAAAGTGAAGAGAAGATCCATGAGGGAGCAATTAATTCATAATTAATTAAGCTATTATAACCTTTAAAAAATATAAAACTAATTGATTCGTTAATTGGGTTTTTCATTTTCTCCAACGAGAATCCCAGATTAGATGTCATCTTTATCTTCATCTTCTCTGGCGAAAAACCCATATCAAAATTTGGGTTTCTTGATCAAATCTAGCAAGCAAAAATTGCATCACCTAAAGCAATTAGAACAACCTACAAAGTCAAAATCAAGAATCCCATTTCAATACTGTAGATCCCACTACATGGACATGAGAGAAAATCCCAAATCTAGGTTCTCACGGTCAACATCAAAGAAGCTTGGTTGGGTGAACATCAGAGGGCCTAGACCTCTTGAAACCTCAAGCCTTTGTTTTTGTTCTCCTTAACCTACGTCACTGCCAACAAATCTGACTTGGAATCAAGGGTTTCGAGAAGAAAGAATCAAGAATGGTTCCAAAGGATTTATGGGTTGAAGAAGAAGAAGGAATGGTTGTCGGTTATTACCAGAAGATTTGGGGGTTTTTTGAAGAAGAAAGGATCTAAGGGTTAAAGGGGAAGAGGAAAGAGAGTGAAGCGAAGAATCTGGAAGGGGGAGGTGAGTCTGCATCAATAAAAGGAGACAATGACATGTTTGCCCCACTATATTTTGTTTTATTTAGAAGGTTGGAGGGACAAAAATCAAACGTGGAATAAAAATTGATGCTAGATAATCAATTGATTGAGTTGTTTTTTCTGCGTAGGCTCATAAAAAATAAAAGTGGTAATTGTTGGACACTTAAGGTGCCAGGTATGCAGTCTGTCAACGGAATAACCATTTGGGTTACAGAAAAATAAAGTTAAAGGATGATTTGAGTGCTTTTTGAAGTTAAAGGACGAACTAAGTTTTGAAATGAAAGTTTAGGGACCAAATTGGGTATTAAACCTTTCTCTTTCATTTGTTTTGACCAACAATATGTAATAACCAGTGGGTGCCGACTGTTTTGTGGATCGACCTTTATCGCAACATTTATTTTTAACCTGCTCTGCGGTGAAGTCCCTTCCATTTTCAGTCTCTTATCTCCCAATATTTTTACGCCTTACACTCCACATTCCGCAAGGCTACTAATGGCTTCTCTTTCTGCTTCTTCCCTGTCTCTCTTCCCACTTTCTTCTTCTTCTTGGTCCTTAACCAAACCCCAATTGAACTTCTCTATTGCCACCACCAACAGGATCAAATTCACCATACCCACAAAACCAAGAAACCATGTTGGCACCCACGTCATCCGATCAGCTGTTTCGATCGACAAGGAAATCCTACTATCCGAGAGTCCCCATACCTTGCTCCGAGAATCCGATGGAGATGGTAACGCCATCAGGGCACGGTTCCAGCAAATGATAATGAAGGCTCAGGCTATAGTGTGTGAAGCCATCGAGGAAGTTGATGGAGTCGGAAAGTTCAAGGAGGACGCCTGGACCAGACCTGGTGGTGGTGGGGGCATCAGCAGAGTGCTGCAGGATGGGGCCGTTTGGGAGAAGGCCGGGGTAAATATCTCTGTTGTTTATGGAATGATGCCTCCAGAGGCCTATCGTGCAGCTAAGCCTGCTGCTACGGATCTGAACCCTGGTCCTGTTCCATTTTTTGCCGCCGGGATCAGCTCGGTAATGGTTTCTGTACTTATCCTCTAAGTTATAGTTATTCCAAAATTACTCTGATTAGCAAGTGCATATTGGAAAACCCGTCTATCAAATTAAGTGTATGCAACTATAAACTATTCGAGAATTTTTGTTCCCTGCTGCTGGACATTACTGCATACAGCATTTGGTTGGTTTGGTGCACTTCAGATGTTTTTTCATGACTAAAATTGATGATTATTTGTTTCCCAGGTTTTACATCCAAGGAATCCCTTCGCACCTACATTGCATTTTAATTATCGGTATTTTGAAACAGATGCTCCTAAAGGTATTAATCTCTTGTCAGATGTCTGTTTCACAGTTTGGTTGTTTATTTGGAGTTTTGAAAAAGTGCATGATCGAGCATTTAGCTTTAGAATTTCAATTTTCTATTCTTTTGGGTTTATTATCACTATTTTTAATCTTGTTATATTCACCTTCATTAAGTAAAGAATTCATAATAATATGTGTGCTTCTTTCATAAGTTTTTGGTGTCCCATAGAATGAGGTTACCTAAAATTTGATCAAATAAGTAGTTGGTAACATCTTGTTTTAAAGACCAAGGAGCGGGTTTTAGATTTCCATGAAGATAAGATCCAACAAGTTCTTTTGCTTGCCTCTCAACTTTTGTTATTAGTAGGAGTTACATTTGCTCATGTTGGAGACTTTAGATTCTATTCTCTAAGCTTAGGGTAATGAAAAGATCCCAGTTTAAACAGTTTAAGCAAGATGGCAATTTTTTTTGGGCTAAAAGAGGAGCTTCTACTTAAATTGTCATTGCATTTTTTTGCATAGATATCCTTTTTGGTTTGTCTCTTTATTTATAGACTAGTTGGTAATGATTCACAATGAAAGGTGTTTTCTTCTAGAAGTCTTTCTAAGTGGTATGATTAATTAAAAGAACTTGGTCCTTCATTAAAATGAAAAAATTTGAGCAAAACAATATAACTTTAATTGGTAGCTACCTCAATTCAAAATATGCAGATATTCCTGGAGCACCAAGACAATGGTGGTTTGGTGGTGGAACTGATTTGACCCCTGCTTATATCTTTGAGGAAGATGTCAGGCATTTCCACTCGGTATATTTCAACTCAGAATCTTTCAACTTTTTGCAAATGATATTTTGAACAGCATTCAATTAAATCATTTTCCCTTTTCTTTCTGAAAAATTATTATCTCCATTGTTGTTATTGATCACTTATATTGCTAATTAAGATACAAATTGCAAATTCAAATATTTCTTTCAATGACATCTGATGGAAAGTTAAGCTACCAATCTTCAGCACTAATAAAATATCAATTAAATGTAACGGATAATAAAATATTTTCAAAATAGAGGTAGTTTTACTGTGCATAGTTTAAATATTTGAAGATAATTTTTTTATTTTGATATTGATATCTCCTCCTCCCTTCTGTAGATATGATAAATAGATGGATAAGTTGGAGCATGTGGTAATTACTGACTGTTGGCTTCACTGTATTAGCCTTAGAGGTTATTGCAAAATTGAATTACAAAGTTGCTATTGTATCTCAGAACTTTTATTCTGTTTTAGATAATTCACTTCAGGATGATTTTCCTTTCTAAGGTTTGTTTCTTCACTAATTTTTGCCCCCCATTTTGCAGATTCAAAAAAGGGCTTGTGATAAATTTGATCCAACCTTCTATCCTCGATTCAAAAAGTGGTGTGATGACTATTTTTATATTAAGGTACAATCTTGCTAGACGATTCAAATTTCACTTCTATGCAGTGCATTTTGGTTTTGTTGATTTTTAGCTAAATCCAGGCATCATATATTGATTGATAGGATGGACGCTAATGCTACTTAAATGCTTTCTTGCTCTTTTATTTATAATTCTATGTTCCCTGTTGATATTTTACTCATGAAATGTGGATTAACGAGTTATTCTTATAGTTTGGTGTTGATAAAAAAAGAGTATTAAAGTTTGGCATATTGGCAAACGAAGTCTGTGTTAGGTGTGGTTTTGGTCTTAATATTTTCATTTATGACCAAATTAAAAATAAGGGAAGAGGATGATGATAGAATAGAATGGCAAGTCTTTTTACATGATTTTGTTTAATATGTAGATCATAGGAATGAGAGTGTAATAGCTAGTCTTTCATCCTTCCTATGTTATAGCTATTACAACCTGTTGCCTACTTATTTGAGAAGGAAATCACCAGGCTTATAAAGATATTTTCTGCATTTTCTTTTTGATTAAGAAATAAGCACTTCTGCCTTGTCATACCCTCCTGCTATTTTGCCCTTTTTCTATCTAATAACCATGTTATAGCTATTATATTAGCAAAAAATTACCTGGACTTTGTGAAACTGATAGTTGCCTTTGGTTGTTTGTCTGCTCAGAGGCACTCTAGGTTATATTACCATGTCTGCCTAGATAATAAAGTTATAGGCAGAGTTACATTTTAAAAGTGATTAAAGTACGCTTTTAGTTGTGCTGTATCTACTCTTTATTAGTAATGGGATTAAGGAATTGTTTTCTTATGGTTTTTGAGTTGTGGACAAGGCAATCCCAAAAACAAGAAGTACGAACATCTTCTCTTTCTAACTTGAGCTTCTCTCTCTACAAGATACACCTAACAACTTACAAAAAGGAAGTGTCTTCCTCTTCATCATCTACAAGGTCATCAGCCATGTAGACTTCACAATCAAAGGAATTTTCTTTAGTTTCCTCATCACGATGTTTTTCCTCATCTTGTAGTTCCTCCATACAAAGTTTATTTTTGCTTGGACATTGAAAGCTGATGTGTCCATCTTCACGACACTTACAGTGAGTTGCACCCTTACTGCCGTTGTTATAAGTTGTGCTGACTTTTCCTCTTCCAAAATAGGGGCCTTGCTTGTTAAAGCCACTTTATTTAAGCCTGTAATTGGGTAGCACATTTTGCATCATAATTCTTTCTAGCTGCTGCTTTCATGGTTGGGAACCCAATTTTCTCACCATTCTAGTTGTTTATATATTCTTCTGCATTAATGCTGCCTGAATACATCTTCAATGCTATAAATAGGCTGCCAGAGGAATTCATTTTTTAATCTCAGCTCTTAGACCAGCTCTAAAATAAGATGCTGCTGGTGAGGCATCCTTGACAACTTGACTAAATCTTTAGCTTATCAAAACTCTTGCATATATTCAACCATTGTCATGTTTCCTTGCCTCAAGGTATAAACCTTATCATACATCTTTTCTAGATAATTTTGTGGCATGTACTTTTCTCTTAATTTTACTTTCATCTCTGGCTAATTAGTTCTTGGTGGTTGTCCTAATTGGGTTAAGTCACTCTCAATACCCTGCCACCCTTTTTGGGCTAGTTTGACAAGTTTCATCTAACCAAACCTAACTCTTCGGGGATTTCCCATGTCATACCAGTTGAAATATTCCTCCATAGAATTAATCCAAAAAGAAAACACAATAGGATCAACCTTCCCCTCAAAATCTGGAACTTCAACTTTTATGTTACCAATTGTGTCTCGTGCCCATCTTTGTCCTCTTCCATTCCTAGGTGCTGCTGTTGTTATTTGGAGGCCTTCACCTTGGACAATATCTAGTATATCTTGGTCACTATCTCCTCTGTCTTGGAATCACATTCAGTTTCAAGTGCATCCATCTGTTTTTGAATTTTGTTAACCAAGCCATGAATTTCCTCCACATCAGAAGTTAGCCTTGTAACTTGAGAATTTAATTCAGTGTTTGTCACCATGTTTCGGAAGAAAATTCAACAATTAAGTTGTAGGGTATGTGGGCTTTAGAATTTCCTCCATATGCTCTTTGATGTATTGCAATAAGTTTTGGCTTTGAACAGGGTGCGTGAACAATAATAAAAGAGATTAAGAATATGGTTTAGAAGAGAGAAAAAGATATAGAACCCTAGGAGTAACACCTAGGTACCCTTAGGAATTAAGGTTAAATGCTTCTTACAATCAAGATTGCTTCACACAATCAAGATTGCTTCACGCAATCAAGAGCATAACTGCAGGAATATTCTGAATATCATTAACTGAATGTTTACAGAAACTACAAGCAGTATAGGAACTATTAAAACTCCTAATACAACTCTTCTTCAGAAGTTCTAATCCAACGAGGACTTAAGTTAAGTTACTTTAAAAATTACTTAATAATGTTAGAAAACAAATACTAATAAAAGACTTAATTAAGTTCCCAGCTAAGCTTCTCAAGTTCTCATCATTGGCCATGTGCCAAACTAAAGCATGAGCTTTAGAACCAAGTTTTGCTCACCTTTTGTAAACCTTTGGGAGTTGCTGCCAGTGTGCCTCATCATAATGTGTCCTCCAATGCTATGGATCTAGTCTTGGTTACTCCATGTACCTTTCTGCCTAAGCAATCAAAATTTCCCTTAGAATTTTCAGCCATTGTCCCCATGAGTGGGGGTTTGTCAAAACTAGAATTTGACTATGAACCTTCAATTAAAAATCACAACTGAAAGCACCAACCAAGAAATCCAAGGAGTTGAGGTCCATGGTGATGATGAGGGACCACCTGGCAGGAAATTTCTGGCTAAATCGCCCAACTCTGCTAAATGGAGGTTCCCTTGCCTGGTTTTTTGACAAACCTAAACTGATAAGGCCTCTTAAGTAGTACAAGTTCCACTTGTTTACCCAAGAAAGCGAAAAAAGGGTCTCCTTATGCAAATCCTAACATTGTACTCTTGCAAAGCCCTAAAGTGCTTAAGAAGACTAAGGGATCTGGGAAAGATAAGAAAGAGAAATCTAAGAATCCTGTTAGGAAAAAGCTCAACACGGAGCCAAACCCTTCAGCTGCGGCTAGTGGGTTTCTTTATCTTTTGAGACTAGAGAAGTTTCGGCTTTTAACCAGGATTCATACTATTTCCTCTCTTGGAAGGTTATGATCTCCAACCCTCCTTCCTCATGCTATCAAGTTCCTTTTTGTGCTGGTTGCTGGAAATCTTGTTGTCTCTCTTCTGCAATCAAGTATTGTTATTGCAGGTTCAACCATATAGCTCCATTTACTAGAGGCGGAGGTTTCTCTGTTTGACTGTGGTCTTAGCACCACCCCCTGCTCTGTCTTTATTGGTTTCTTCTTTTCCTGTTATGTCCTAGTAATTGGTTTTGTGGAGTTTATTTTGATGTTCTGTCTTTCAGTTTTTTTGTAGTGACTTTGTAATAGCTCTTTGATGTATTGCAATGAAATCCTAATTCCTTTGGGCCAAAAAAAAAAAAGGGAAGGGGAAGGAGAAGGCAATCCCATTGCACTCCATCCCTACTCAGAAAGTATTTTGCGAATACCAACTTATTCAGTTGATATAATAAAATAATTTCAGATTGCTTTTATCTTCTTTTTTGGGTGAATGTATTCTTGTTGCTTATGTCTCATTACATTTGGATTTTATGTTACTGTTGATGCTTATGCAGCATAGAGGTGAGAGGCGGGGACTTGGGGGAATCTTTTTTGACGATTTGAATGACTATGACCAAGAGATGCTTCTTTCTTTTGCTACAGGTAATTGCATAGTAGGAATTGATACTTTAATGTTGTTTCAGTGAGGACAACCTCAGTTCCATGGTCTTCATATTATCCTTATATAAGAATTTGTTTACTTGCAGAGTGTGCAAATTCTGTGGTTCCTGCTTACATACCGATCATGGAGAAAAGGAAGGATATGCCATATACCGAGAGGCACAAGGCGTGGCAACAATTGCGCAGGGGTCGCTATGTAGAATTTAACTTGGTATTATATATCTTTGATATTTGAAATTTGAAATCCTATATTCTTCAGTGAGTCCTTATTTTATTTGCTAATGAAGGTCTATGATCGTGGCACAACATTCGGACTTAAGACAGGTGGCCGAATTGAAAGTATTCTTGTTTCTCTCCCTCTAACTGCAAGATGGGAATACGACCATGTAAGCTTTCTGTCCTTGTTACATTTTTCTTTCCAAAATGAAAGCCTTGATGTTATTTTTCTGAGTTTATTAATATTGAGAGATTGCATTGTACAGAAACCAGAAGAAGGAAGTGAAGAGTGGAAACTATTAGATGCCTGCATCAACCCCAAGGAATGGATCTGATACTTTTCTTGTCAATTACGTTGTGCCATTTTGAATTACCTTCCCGTCCCTCTCTGTCTCTCCCTCATTCTTATGCTTGTTCAGAATTGTTTTTCTGCCGCAGAAGTTAGAATCCAGTTTGTTGGTGCTGTTCAAAAAAGAAAAAAAAGGGGGAATATATTTTGTTCTGATGAGGCTCTCTCGTCATGCGCCATGTACTAGTTTGATTTTGGTTTTGATTTCTATAGTAATTGAATCCGCCAGACGCTAACTGTTGCAGGCAAGATGTGAATTTTTGATGAATTTTTGATGCAGCTAGAAACGTGAGTAACAATCCTAAAACTTGAAAGCGAAAAAGGTATATTTTCCCTTATATTTTTCAACCTTACTGAAATCTTCTCTGTACTTTTTCCTGTAATTTATTGACCCTTGAACTTTGATCTTGAATAAGTCAGCCGTTTTACATTTCGTATGAGTTCTATTGGCCAAAATTTAATTCCTGACATAAGCACACATTAGCATTGTCTTTGCAAGGAAATGTAGCTGAGTTGTGATGATGTGGAAACATTGGGCTCATTTTTTTACGTGGAGTCATAAAGCCATTATGTAATGCCCAATAATTTTTTAAAACTTAAATCTGTCCTTAATTGCTAATAAATTGTTAAAATATAAATTTGATGATCAAAGTGTCTAAGAGAAGTTGAGTTTTTTTGGGTAAAAAATAATGAAATGTGGGTTTAGACAAGGTCATAGTATTATATATTAATTTTTATGATTATATAATACTAATTATACTTTAAGTTGATTAAAAAATTTTATTAATTAGAAAAAAAAATTATAATAAGGGTATTTTTGTCATTTGACATAATAAACATAGAAAATGATATTATAACATAAAATATGTTATAATATTCATTTACTGCTAAGTGGTTTGTTTTAACCTTATTAAGCTTGAGTCAGTTTAGTCAAAAGCTAGCTTTCATTAGTGGTAATTTTGTAAATATAGTGATCCAAACATTTGAAAAGAGGAAAAAGAGCAAATGAACCAAAAAAATTCGAGTTTTTGGAGAAGGAAACCCACCACCGTCCATGGATGCTCTTCCTTGACACTTCTCTCTTCCAACTTTCATTTTAGGGCAAAGTGGATGTTTTTCCAAAGTTTTCAATGTGCTAAAACCATTTATTGTAAGTAGGTTTAAGTACTATTTTGGTCCCTCAACTTTTTATTTTGGCACTAAAATTGTTCCTCAACTTTAAAAAACACCAAAATTATCCTTAAACTTTCATTTTCGGTACTAAAATAGTCCTTCTGTTAGTTAAGTGCACAGGTAGCACGTTATCTTGTCACAAAATCACATTTTAAAAAAAATAATAATTACGTGAAAAATAAACTTGATCAGATGGCATTTTTCATTTTTCATGTGGCATTTTTTTCTTATTTAAATAAAACCCACATAATTTATTATTATATTATTCATCTTCTTCTTCCTCCCTTCTTCTCTTTCATCCCTCTGTGCCTTCCTCTTTCCCAGCCTTCTTCTTCCTCTCTCAAATCCAGATTTGGGTTTCATCACATAAAATTAACGATATGAAGAAGTTGGGTTTCCGTAACTTTGTTAACATGGATTTTTATAGAGAAGTTTGATCTTGTTAAAAACTTCTCTACAAAAATCCACCACAACATGGTCGGAACCTCGTCTAAACGGCTTTGCCCTTGCAATGTTTTCACAAGACGACTCCTCTGCAGAAAATGGCGACAAGGACGCTCGAGTAGCCACTGGAACGGAACAGAAATGCTGGATTTTAACTCCACTGAACAAAGATTTGGGAATTGGAGATATGGGTTTTGTGAGGAAAGTAACTGTTGTTGGAGAAAGAATTGAGAGGCTCAGCATCTTGGGTTGCTTCGCTTATGCCCACCACTCTAGCTTGGTTCCGGTACCTGTCCTTTGTTCTATAATGTAGATAAGGTTATCGCCTCCGACGGTCACTCGCTCCCTGCTTTCTAAAGGAGTTTAGTTTATTGTATTTTGAAAAACTTATCTAAAATCAATCCCTTTAAATGCCTTCAAATGGCATGAACAAGCGGAGGAGAAGGTAAGGCGAGCCACTTAACGGATCGTGGATTCCATCGAAGACGAGGTCGGAGGTGAAGAGGAATCAATGTCTGTGAGCTGGGATGCAGAAGAGGAAGAGGTGGGAGGCGTCAGTGGGTCAAAGGACTTGCTGCTCATGTGACTTTAAATAGAAGCAAGAAACCAAATCTGGGTTTCTCCAATATTCTCCATCTCTATCGCCTTCCCTTTCCTTCCATCACATGGTCTATGTTTCCCTCTTCTTCATTAATTTCCCTTGCTAGTTTTCATAGCAGAAATAATGTGAGATTAATTTGAGGAATCATTAGAGTTTAAGCTTTAATCTCCATTTATGGGGGGAATTCTTGTTTGTGTGCTCTTGGGTTTTTGGTGGTTGGATATTTTGGGTTGAACTTTGTTGGTGTTTCTTTTGCTATTCTTTCAAGAGAGCTTACTAGATTGCGATTGAAAAGCCAACTGATATCTCCTTGAAGAGGAAAAGAGATGAGCACTCCACAAGTCAACATCCATTTCTATAACCTTTCTTTCCAAAGTGAATTTCGATCTATGCTCAAAAAATTCAACGAAACAAATAGTATTTGAAGCTCGAAACAAACTGGATTCGACGCTGGTTTGAGAACCCAGATCTGGGTTGGTTTGAGAACCTAGATCTCGATTTGAGAAGAAGGGAGAAGAGAGAGAGAAAGAATAAGAAGAAGAAAGAAGAAGGATGAGCAGGGAAATGAAAGGAGGAAGAAGATAAAGTTTGAGAGAGAACCTAGATCTGGGTTTGCAGAGGTAAGGTATAAGGAAAGGTAGAGAAGAGAGAAAGTGGAGGAAGAAGAGATGACGTGAACGAGAAAAAAAAGGATATCATTATTTTTAAATTAAATATAAATGCCAACTCATACACAAGAAGGCCAACTATGTTTTCTTTTTTCCATGTCATTGATTTACTGGTAAATTAACGTGACACCTGTCACTTAACTAACAGAAGGATCATTTTGGTACCAAAAATGAAAGTTTAAGAATAATTTTGGTATTTTTTAAAGCTAAGAGACAATTTTGGTACCAAAGTAAAAAGTTGAGGGACCAAAATGGTACTTAAACCTTGTAAGTATTTTGCCTAGGGAAATCTAAATTTTAAGTCATTTCATGAGTTAAATTCTAGAGTTTGAAATGGGTTTGCTTGGATTTAGTTGAATTTGACATATGTGATGCTCTTAGTTTCGATCGATCTATTTATCATTTTTATTTCATAAAATGACGAGTGAATTTTGATTTAGTTCATTTATTTATAATTTTGGAGTTTATAGAATTTAAATTTTGAAGTTAGAGATGGATATTGACATTGTATTTGAAGTTAGAATATGATTTATATATTGTGATGGGAATCAAGATGACCCCACATGTACCACATCATGAGATCCATTACACATTCCAGGAGGTTCAATCATGAGAGCTAGAGCTGGGAAGATGTGAGAAGCTTTAAATGGCCTTATTGAGCAGATCTGGGTTGATAACAACATACAACAAGCAAATCGAAGCTTGGATGATTATCAAGGCATGGTAAACATAATTCAGGTTCAAGAGAAGCTTAGTTGTGGTCACTTGCACAGAATCACACAATTCGCGTCAAAATCACACAATTCTGCCACAATTTGTAGCAAACTGATATTTTGTGTTATTTTAGGTTATTTTTAGTGATTTTCACGTTTTTTGTATTATTTTTTGGTTGAACATTCGCTTATTTGAAGCCCAATTCGTGGTTATTAGGTTTAGGACTTAGGGTGTTAGTTTCCTATTCTGATTAGGATTTGTTTTCTCTATTTAAAAGGCTTGTAACCCTAATGGGGAGGGAGACTATTGAATCTGAGATTTTGAGACTTTTCTCTTTGGTTCGTTTCAAAACTTTACAGAACTTATCAAAATTATTCTTGTGGCATTCTAACCTGACTTATCATTCTCATTCTTAATCATTCGAGGGTGTGGTGTCAACCAATTTTATACCTCTGGTTCTTGTTGCGTCATAAACAATGGGTCAAGGTTTTTGCCTAAGGTTTTTGCCTTTGGTTCTTGTTGTGACATAAACAACGGGTCAAGGTCCTATTATAAATCTGATTTAGCTTTCCTGGAGTTGAGAAATCCCTTGTCGTGCTGTGAGTCTCATTGTTCTCTTTGGGGTTCTTATCATATTGATTTCAATGTGAACATTGGAAACAAGGAAAGAAAAAAAGAAAGAATAAGAGTATTACAAGGAGTGGTTGTTGAGGGATGGCTTTAAAGTCGATGAAATGTGTGGCTCCACATTAGCAAAGGCCCACATGACTTGTTTTCCATATCAAACGTGCTATTCTTATCTTTTGTTGATTACTATAGTAGAATTAGCATCATCATAAACAACACTTATTTACTTCGTTGGAAACATTGCAGAATCCAACCTACACCAACATCTTTTTATATACATGGTCAGACATGGCTAAACCTATTATAACGACATGGTTGGGCATCTTTGACGGTCATGTCCCCTGCAACGATGTTCATTGCTGCATCTTGGGGCTCCTAACAATGGATAAAGAATCGACTTTGCTATGGATATATGGCTCCCATCAACTTACAATAGGCCACATCTACATAGCCCTCGGTAATGGACAAAGGGCCAAATTCGTTATCTCGTTCAGCCTCTAGTAATGGGTAAAAGGCTATATGTTTTTGTTACATATCTTTATTACATCGGCTCCCAGCAACAGTCAAAGGGTTAGATCTCTACATATTCTATCTCACTAGCTCCCAGAAACGGACAAAGAGTCAGCGCAACACAGTACGATTAACGTGAGGCCGATAACAATTGCAACCCTACGATCAGATGGGATGGCTACTCTTTAATGATAAAAGTCCATCAAGTAGCGGCCGATGATCCCTTAGTGGTCACCCATGCATGGTGGTGTGGTACCCAACGAGCAATAACAACGAGGGCCACCCTCTGACGATGTGGGTACGACGAGAAGGGCCAGCGTTTACCAGTGGTATCACACTTTGTTGTATTGGAGGCCATGGATGTGGCTGGCGTCCCTCTTCCATGGAGACAACTCCATCTCTCTCAGTCACATATTCATCGTTGTAGCAGAGTCTACCTTAGAAAGATTTACCCCTCTACGACTTCGAAGATTAGTGGGAATACTATTATGATTCCATATAGTTCACACTCTAGCTGTCACGCCCCAAAACCCAATTTCGAGACGCGACAGACGCCGTGCACTCGTGAGACGAGTCCCACAAATGCACAAGGCTCAGAACTTATCATATCACGCTCTGATACCACCAAAATCTGAAGATCAAATTATAAAATTCTCTCTGATATCATAAAATCTCCGAATACAAGATCATGATTCATATCTAAAATTTATATCCAATTACAATATGGCTAGCCTTCTAACTCGTCACTTCCCGTGATTTCCCCGTCCTCGGTTTCACTTCCTGAAATGGTGGACAAGGAAAACTATGAGATAAACTCAGTAAGTAAAATATGGATTGCCCTTAATTAAACTCATAGCATGCCAACATGTGCAATCACGAAAAACGGATACAGTACGGGCACGAAATAGACGTCTCCTCTATAGGTCACGGCCAGCGTTTATAA